GCAAGAGCCACGTGTTCATTTAGTTGTAATATCGCAAGAGTGTGGTTCCACTGCTTTGAAAGAGACTTGCACCAAGTGCTGATATTCACTAATATAGTTGAATGCAATAAACGCAACGCACGCGAGACACCTTTATTCCCTAACAGAGCCACGTTACGCATGAGGCCTCCTCCTTGGTGACTGCGCTTGGAATCCTCCAGTCATTGCAGCGGAGAAGGCTGCACGATTGAAAAACAAACACAACGACAGGCACGCCGATGCACGATCACGTAACACCCCCACACCCACCGCAGCCACAACGGCGCACGTGCGAGTCGCGAAAAAGAAAGCAGCACCACACACACAGCACTTAGATGTCAGCGGAATATAGTAAACAAAAAGGATGCAATCAGCTCTGCGCGGGTGGGCCCACCTTCTCAAGTGGGGGGGGGGGGTCACAAGCCACTCGCAATCACCGGAGGAATTTATGGAATATCCTGCATGAAGATATAGCCGCCAATCAAGATTGGATTCCAGACGGTTTTAATTGGAATGGACCGCGCACCACTTCTTTTCCCAGTTGCACACTCCGCTCAGACGCAGCCAAACGGTTTTTGTGATTTTACGATTTACTGGCCTCGGCCGAACACTCTGGGAGGAACGAGAGGAAAACGGGCGAACGCCAACACGCAGCCCCGCAGCTTCTGTCTTGTGGAGGAGAAGGCCTACAGAACCAGGGGGGTTTCAGCTCTGCTTCACAGTGTGAAGGCTCTACTTTTGTGCAAGTTCTGCGCAAGTTGGAAGGACGTAGAAGGGTGGGTGAGGTTCCAGGGTAACAGCCACGTGGTTTACTGTGGCTCTCTTAACGTAGAATATGGATGGAAAACATTGATTTTTAAAACAGGTGAGAAACCGAAACATATTTTTTCCAGGGTTAACCAATCCATAAAAGCAATAAATATATCTATGAATAGCAGCCCTTTTGTAAATCCACTGCCAGATAAAGGCCTTTATAAGTTGGTAGATAAAAATCGTAGTGCCTTCAAAAGAAAGAGCCCTAGTTATTGTGAGTTAACGGAAATAATATCTGTGCTTGTGATAAAATACACAGTGACAACAAATGCGGTGCCACTGCCCAACCACCCAACCCTAACACCCGCCAATCCTACTAACCCTAACCCAACAAAGGTAAATACATTCATAAAAAAAACCTAAATGTCTTGCACAAAAACAGGTTAGGCACACCGTAAAAAAATATATATATCAAGTGAACTAAAACAATTAACAGAGATAAATAAAAAATATATAATAACGGTCTACATGTGTATGATTTAAAGCTTCGGAGTTTATTTCATGGTTGACAGCCTTAATTTGACACGCCAATAGTGCTGTTGTAAACCTGGGCATGCGGCACACGCTCTCCGAAGGACGATGTCAACTTTTTTTTGCAAACGGCACAGCAGAGGGAAGGGGGGTTGGGGGGGGGCATGGATCACTTCTAAAATTATAGCTCTGTCTGAGGGCTTCAATGACCATGCCAGCATTCAAGAAGAATACAGGGGTGGGGGGAAGAGGGGGGGGGGAGAAGGAAAATAATAATAAAAAATAAAGCCTGTACACTTTTTCACGACACCTTTTTTTTGTATCGTACCAAAACACGTGTGCAGCATGAGGGCGCTTTAGCAAACTTGCACAAATGTGAGCCGCCCTCAGAATGTATCCCCCCCCCCCCCCCGAAAAAAACAGCTCTGGCAAAGGCATAAACGCTTGCAGTTGCTTGCAAGGGTGGAGGAGAACGCTGTCAGACGGGCCTGCAAACTTTCAGTGGATGATCGGATTAAAGTACGAATAATAGGGGCCACACGCCCAACCAGACCCTCTGGAAGGCTCTACGAAGGCTCCAAAGGCCTCACCTTTTTAAACAATGCTCAAGATTTTAAAAGCCGCGAAAGAATTGTTTGTGAAGCCTTTCAGGTTTCACCCGATAAAAAAGGGTGCGTCGGCGTCGACCTTTGACCTCTTGAGATAGCATGAAGGCACCGGTGACCTTTCATAGGAGGGTCCCACGTACTCGTGGCGAGGACGTATCACATATTGATAGGCAACGTTCATGATAAAATCCATACTCAACTAGGAAAGTAAAGAAAGACGCATCGATTGATCAATTAAAATGTTGCGCGTAATAATCGATTGTTGACAAAATATGCAAATCATATGTCAATACGAAGTCAATAATAGGTTCAGGAGAGGGGGCGGGGGAAAAAAAGACCAATGAGGCAAATTACGGTCAAACATCCCCTACAACCTGCACGGCATGTGGGGGTTTTCATCCAGCAGTGGATTGACAATGGTTTCTAAAAGTATTATTGTATTCTTATGCTGGGGGGGGGGGGGGCTGGTTGGGGGAGGGGTTGGAGGAACCACCCAAGATCCATATTGTTCTCAGGGCCCTAAAAATAATGTTTTTTTTTTAATTGGCTGCACCACGAGAGATGTCAGGCTCCAGATAATATTGAGGTACGGTGGGGGGGTTAACAAGCCTATTCATAAAACAAAAAATGTATTCTCCCAGCCAACTGCAATCAACTCAAGATAGCCAGAAAATATCAAACGTATATTTATTATATATATGGAGCAATAATTTAAAACAAATACAAAACACTAACACTGCAAGTGTAGGTCTCACGATGTGTGCATACAGCAATAGAAGGGAGTAGCTAAGTTGCTTTAGATTCAAGAACAAAAGGTATCAACAGCTGCAAGTCATTCCTGCATTAAATATATATATACTTCATTGGCTGACTTTAACTGAAATTAACAGGCAGAGTCTCCGTTACTTATTTAAGGCGCTCTCTCTCTCTCAAAATGACGAGGTTTCGGTTTGGGCGCTGCCAAAAAATGTCCGCTGACCCTGATTTACTCTAACTCACCGTCCCACCTTGTACCAGGGATGATAAACAGTGCAACATTTGTACAACTTTAACTCATTAAAAGTGACACTTTGGCTTTGCGCACGGAGGCACCGTCACTTTGAAGCTCTCTCCACTCCTCGTGTACTTTAGCGGGAACCCAATACTTCGGGTGCGCCCCCCCCCCCTTCCTTTCCCTGTGCTAAAAGAAAAACATCCATCCAAGGCCGGGCGCGAAAAGGGGCCCCGCGGACAGCCCAGACGGATGCACAGCGTGAAATGGGGAGCGTTTCTATTTCAATATGACACGAAATTTTTTAATTTCGCAGCAGATGCAAATCTCGCTCGGAAATTTCCCCCCGATTAGTGTGGCCTAGAAGTGACCCACCCCCCTTCTCCTCTCTCTCAAGAACTCTAATCGGGAACTGTGGAGGGGGCAGCGGGGGTGTGTGGGGGGGGGGCGGCAGTGTAACATTTTCTTATATAATATACAATATGCAAGGCCCTCTGGGAGATGGGCAATAATCACACAATTTCAAACCAAAGCATGACCCTCGAGTGTTATTTTTAAGCCTCGTCCCTTTTGGTTCCCCTCGAGCGGTGTTTCAGCACTGCGAGATCGACCAATGAATACGCGCGATGGGGAATTCGAGAGATAAATCATCGCGATTAAGTCACGCGGATACGGCGGTCTATAGGGGTGACGTTACAATCGCGCACTTCCCGTTAGTGGAGATATTGCAAAATAACAGCACTGTTTTTACAACCCCTCTAAGATCCGTCTGCATGAAACGAGCATAATATTTCTTTGTGAGAACAGAAACAGAAATTTACTTTCTGGCACATGTTTAAGAGACAATTAGAGGTCATCCACATATGTGGCCCGATAAGAACTGTCTGGGATGCAATATTATAAAAAGTCATTTCCAATTTTCTCAAAAAACCCTGATAATGATGATGATGATTGGAAGAATTCTCCACGTTCAGGTCATTATTTTCCAGTAATAGAACATTATCTCCAGCGTGCAGTGTAACACAATATTGCAATATCACAAAGGAAAAATGCATAAAAGTGAGTGTAACACAGGACAAAGACACTAAGACATAAGTTGCAAATACAAATATACAACTGAAATTACCACATAGTTGATTGGGCAAACTAAAGACAACCAAAATGCTTACATTTGTAAAAAAAAGATGACAGCCCTGCAATTGCTCACACCACACAGATGATGGAAAGACCTCCATTACAAGGAGCTCACTAAAGAGAATTTGGCCTACTCTTCCACACCAGCCACTCATCTTGGAAGGGATGGAAGTACCACAAATATACCCACCACACACAAACTGCCAATCGACTCACTGTGGTGTACCCACTTCACTGCATCGCGCTTTCAAATGCACTTCTGCGGCCATCTGGAACGCCCTAGCTTCCGATATTAGGAAGCCATTCGAACTATGCACTGTTAAATCAACATTGTAAACTCAATTCTTCAGGACTGCTTTTCGTGTGTTAAGTTTGTTGTCCTTCCCCCGCACCTCCGATTATCACGGTTGGCTACGTACGGTGCGAAAGAAGTTCAACAAACACACATACATGTCCTCATTGGGCTCGAGAGGGGCTGCGGTATTTAAGAAACTTTGCCCAATGTTTCAACTGCCATGCCAGAAGATCAAACCATGGGGCGCCATGGTGGCGAGATGTAAACTACCTCACCTGGTATGCAGGGGCTCGTGGGTTCGATCCCGACTCTGACGCCTGCTGTATATTTGGAGTTTGCATGTCTCTCTCCCCATGGTCGCGTTGATTTTTATCCAGGTTCTCCAGTTTTTCCTTCCACACTTAGACCCAACATGAGTATTTGGCTGCTCCTATAAATGTCCACATGATAAGCCACTTCGTTGACTTATCATTTGTGGCCAGGTCGCTTCTGAAAAAGAGCTATACATAGCTCAGTGGGGCTTACTTAGTGAAATAAAAAATAGTTTAGTAAACCGGCGGACCTCTTGGATTACAAATCCCATGTGCTACCCACTCCACGACAGCAGCTCCACGATAGGCCGTAAGAGAAGCGATCAGGGAGCAGAGGAGGAGGTGGTTGGGGTCCCCACCTGTCGCCGTCTTTGTTTTGAGGGGGCTGCTGGCCCTCTCCGAGCCCTGGTGCGAGGGCTGCGTCACGGCCGGGGCGCTGCCGAGGGAGGCCTCGTCCCCTTTCTTCCGGGCGGCCGACGCGGCAGCCGCAGCGGCCTTTGGCGCAGACTAAGAATAGGAGGTGAGGGCGTCACAAGCAGGCGGACAACATTAGTAGAGCAATAGCATCCTCCCCGCCCACCCCCCCCCACCTCCCCCTTACCTTACCGCACAACATCTACCAACGGTATGTGTGGGATCAGCCTCGAATAGAATTTTAATGCGGCTGAAAGTGAAAGTGGTGCTTGCGGTGGTGGTACTTGAGCGTTAGTGCAGCGGTTAGCGCACTGCGCTAATAGGCCCTGGCGACCCGAGTTCGATTCCCGCTCACGGCTAAGACCAGTGACCATTACCTGAACCAGTCCTAGGCCTCCCCCTAAGTCAGTTCAACCTCAAATGATTACCTGGTGCGGTGCGTACAAAAAAAACATCACCACTGGGGAGACAAAGGCGGCCGGGTGTGGTGTTGGTTACCCACCACCTCGTGTGCCGTGCCGGCCTTCATAGGTGCTCGCTAAGAGCACTTGCCCCAACAATATATCATGGCGAAATGGGGGATCTATGTTTTTGGTACTTGTCTCCTGTTTATACAGATTCAAGCCACTAATGGAAATTAGACATTCCTATGGCGAGGGCGAGACGACAAATGAGACAATCAATGTTGACTTCTCACAGAGCGGTCCTGGTTTTATTGTCCGTGGAAGGTTAAAGGGCTAAGTTGTGATTGTGAACCGTTGCGCTCTCACTGCGCTGCGTTGTCTTGTCAAGTTAATTAAGGAAAAAATAAAGTCAGCGTTCTTCACTAATTGTCACAGGTGGGGGGAGGGGTGCGCGGCACTTTTGCCGATAAGCCATGAGTGAGAGGGCCGCCACAGCACATTTGAAACCATTGGCTTTGACAGCACGATGGGGGGGTGTTGTCACGTGTTGTGTCTTGTCGCGGGGCGCACTCAAGGCCACCGGGGGTCGCGAGTGGCCCTGCGGGACCTCGCAATGAAGAACGCCGGATTAAATCAACAATTCAACGGGTGGTGTTTTTCTGCATTGACGGTGGCATCTGGGGGGGTTAATAACTCGCCACTTGACATGCCAGAAGAGTTCATCGGTGCGGCTGACTAAAGCGCCACACGTCCGCCGTCAATCTGCACACATTCGATCGTGAAAGCTCTCGTGGAGTTGACGGAACATTTCCATTATCAAGGGTGGTGTTCACAAGTTACTATGGAGTCCAGACAAATACAGGAACACAATGTTTTGAGTCTGCATGTGTAACCGCTCTGAAACGAAACACATCCCCCATTTGCACGTGACATTTTTTTCCCCCGACGCAGTGGCCCTTTACATTTAATCGACGGCTAAAAAAGACACCTTCCTTGCTACTTTACTCCTACCAACTTGCTAAATACCCACATTCGCATTGCTACAAACAAATTAATTGCAAGCACATTTTGTGTTCGGCAACCGCAGTAAAACTTCGCTCACAACTGGAATGCGGGGGTCACGATATTAATGTTACCAACGGCATTTAATAAAACCGCCAGTTGTCATGCAAAGTACACACAACATACCAAAACTCTTACCCAACCAACGCAGCGTATCCAGCACAAACATACTCGGTGAATTACGTTCTTCTGTATAATGTAAAACATATTAGCGGTGATCTACATTTTCTTGCACGAGGTTATTCATCGATCGTTTTGCTCCGGGACGCCCTGCGCGTGACGTACATTCAAAGAGAATGGAGCGTCTGAAGGCTTTCATGCGAGTTTTTTCTTCCTACCGGAGAGAACATTTATTCAATCACTCCATTCTTCCGCTAAATCCCCGCAGTTGCTCGAGGGAAAGTGAAAAAAATAAACGCTGCAAGTGCAAGCAGCAATACCCCCCCCCCCCCTCCCCACCCCCGGTGTCTCCCACGGAGGCCGCAGCCAGATCGATTCTCACACACGCATCGTGGCCGAGCAGCATCTGCCCGACGAGCGTGCGATCGCTTCCCAAAGACAGCAACCCCAATTAGACCGGAGTTGATCTGCAGCCAATTAGGAATGACCGATTGATGACCACGAAAGCTACGCTTCTCCCATCTGTAACGGGGTTTGGCCGCGCTCTCGACGAGGGGTCGCCTCCAATTACACCTCTGGTGAGGAAGACCTCTCCTAGTCATGTCACCGGCACATATTCTACGCGCTGCCTCTCACGGAGCGCTCGTTGTAGGATGTGGAATGTTCGGGAATGGGTTTTTTTTTTCTTCTTCATGTTTTTATTGCAACTCAAAGCGAGCCGATCGCAGAACGGGGAGCGAACGGAGACTCCGCAAGCAGCAACCCGATTTCGGCGCGACAGGACCAAACGATGGGGGGGAAAAATTTGGGCAATCTTCGGGGGAATGTTGACAACATTCGAAAAAAATGAACTAAAAGGAAATATGCCAGCAGTGTTTACCGGAATCTTTCTCAGGATCGTCGTTTAACCTGGAGGAATCTGATGAGCTGCGAGGCTCTTTTTCACAAATATCCAGTAATCAAATTGAACACCATCACACACGGGGGATATGGCCTGTGCGCACCGAACTTCCGACAGATGCACAAGTCGCATGTAAATCTGCCACCGGCCCGGAAAATATAACACTCCGATGGCACGCAACGCTTTCAGAAAAAAGGGACAAAATTGCACTCTGCGTCCCCTCGCAAATTCACTACACGCCCAAAAGAGCCGCTTTGTGTGTGCCTTGGGTGAACAGCACTGCGGGGAACAATGGAGGAGTTTCCACCTGCAAATCAAGGAAATCAGCACCAGCCGATCCTCACGTCGTCTCGTCCTCAATCCCCAATTATCGCGGCGGCAGGGTAACAAGAGCTGACAAACCGCACTGGGTGCAGCATCTGGTATCAGACCTCCCACTCCCTGATGTCCACTCTAGCTCCCTCCCTCCCCCAACACATACACACACTCCCACCACCACCGCAAGCTACCCGCCCACACCGGCCTCCTCCTCCTGCACCTCCACCCCGTCTCCGCACTCCTCGACTGAGAGCTTGAGTGCACGGAGACTCCTCCGAGGGCCTCAGATTACAGGGCTGTTCCTTACGCGGCTGCCAACACAAACACAGAGGCGGCCTGCCGGGGCAGGCCCCAATGTTCAGCCCCCCCCTCCTCCCCTCCTCCACCTTCTCCCCCACAACTCCCTCTGTTTTAGCTGTGACCTGAGCGCTCGTGCTAGCTGCTGCATCCCCCGGCCCACACCGGCCTCCCTACTGCTACCCATGTCTGCTTCACCTGAAGATGGGGGTAGAAAGGTCAAGTGCAACCTTGCAATTGCCTGCATGCTCGTGCCACTTCTGATGTGGCAGGGCCTCCACCACTAAAGGGAGATGGAGAGAGCTCCTCTCTAGATCTCGCCACCGTGGTGCCACCGTGGTGCCACCGTTGAAGCGACGGTGGCCAGATTTTACCTACCTTGCCTGGTATAAAGTAGGTCGTGGGTTTGATCACGACCTGATGCCTGCATATTTGAAGTTTGTATGTTCTCCCCGTGGTCGCGTGGATTTTTATCCAGGTCATCTGGTTTTTCCCTCCACATTTAGAATCAACGTGCACTTCGAGTATTTGGCTGCTCTACATTTCCACCTGAAAAGCCACTTTGTTGAGCTATGATTTGTGGCCAGGTCACGTCTGAAAAAGAGCTACATAGCTTCATGGGCCTTACCTGGTAAAATAAATGTAGTTTAGTTTTCGTTGAGTTTAGCCTACTCTTCCACACTGGGCAGAGAGCTTGGAAGAGGTCAGAGTGCTCAAACATTCCACCCCTCCCGCCCCACCATCACACATACATGACCTGCCCATCGACTACTTGTGATGTACTTATTCATGCTGCTGCATGGACAGATGCGGGGATGATTTAGGAAACTTTCTCACCGTTTCAATATCCGCGCCGCGTGCGCGAACCGACAAAATCTTTATTGCTTGTCCGGTGTGCGAACAATACAATTACATCACGGCAGCATCCATTTGAAGGTGGGGACTTCAATTTGCTCGTTGAACAGTTCGATGCCACTCAGTCGGTAGCACCAGTCGCATCTGTTAGGTATCTACCATAGATTTCAGAGGAAACTCCAGGTCTCAATGGGCTCTTTATCTGGCTATGAATAAAGCTCTACTGCTGCTACTGCTACTCCGACTCGGTGGCCGGCGGTGAAATGGCCTGGAAACAACAGTCGACTAAATTGATTGTTGAATTCACCCGTCGAGAGTATTCGGCCCTCCACCGAAATCCAATGCCAGACCCGTTTGAAAAGGAATCTGAAGGTCGAGTGAAATTTCCCTGGTTCAACGAAGCCCATGACCGGACCTGCATTTCAGAGGTCGCCAGTTCGATCTCCCCGGCAGAACAGTCGTAAATAATGGTGCACGTTTCGTGAACCTCCACCCACCTCTGTCCACCCACCTCTGTCCACCCAGTATCATGAATGGGTGTGCCACAATTATCCAACGTCTTGAGAAGAGTGGGTCAGGATATGCTCTGGCGGGATTCTCTCGAGCTATCTCTAGTGGAGGACCTTCCACCAGCAACGACATATCTAAGGAATTGTAGGGCGCATCTTTTTTTTACGATTTCACAAGTTAATAATATATTGCACCATGGCAAAGCATTATCCATGTACTTTTTTTCCACTTGGTTAAACAAACATTACGATGTACGGTCATGATAACTTGAGAATTTTATTTGTATTCCTGAGCAGACATTTTTTGGACGTAAAACACAACAAGCCGAACATTGCGGTGTTACTCACAGCAATTAAATTTCACGAGGCACAACACTCTCCCGCATGTGAACATCCTGATCTGGTCCAGTGATTTGTAGCTTAATTTCCTTTGGACTCCAATAATGTCAGAATGCTCAAAATATTATCAAGCAGCTGTGAGGACATTCTGAAATGTTCCATGAATTGTGAAGGCCATAAAGTGTAGTGCCCCAAACTTTAAAGCACCGGCAGCTTCGAGTTACACGTGGCCAAAATCACTTTAAATTATGTGTCAAATGTCAGAAGCTAGACAAGGGCGAGCATGCTTTGGACTGTGATGGGAGACTTCCTGAAAATTCCAGGTGTTGGGAGGCTTGGAGCTGTAAGGTGGGCAAAAAAAATTGTCACTGTACCAACGAATTAAATGTTGCTGAGCCACCCCTCCTGAACATCTGTGAAAAAACAGCTTCGAAGGCCCATCAGATTCCTCCAGTCTAAATCAAGATTCTGATTCTATCGGCATTGAGCAGCTTTGAGTCGTATCCCTCCGACGTGTGAGTTTTTCTCTACAGGTACTCAGGGGGTTTTCTCTCCCACGCTAAGCGGAACAAATAAGAATGGAGTTGGACAAACATCCCAATGCAGGACCCACCTTAAAAAAGGGAGTTGTGATACTCATCCAGGCTTTACTGGCTACATGAGAGAGATGGAATGATTCCTCACCCCAATGACACTTCATAGATGCAATTTGATTCAAGAAATAAATATATATTTGTGTAACACTGTGGCTGTATGGGTGACGTGAACACATTACATGTCACTTATACTCATAAAAAAAAGTTATTCCTACGCAAGATATCTGATTAATGCATTCCGAGCTTAAAAAAATCTACAATAATCGATTCATTATTGAATTGTTCGACCTCGACTAAAATAAGGGTTTTAAAAAAATCGATGGGAATTTCACTGCAAGATGAAGTCTTCCCCAAGCCACCACGTGCCCTCAACAAGTCACCGAGCACCTGCGCCACGAGATGAAATTTGCCTCTTGAATGTCCAAAACCGATTTTATTGGATGATAACAAAACCAAAGTATTGTTTAATTTGTGCATGGGTGATATCAGTCGAGCCGTCGTGTGACCGCACTCAGCGGTGTTGTTTTAATCAGAAACCGGAGCACACGGGGATGATACAACAATCGACACAGCTAGTGTCCCCCCTGAGGCCAACTGGGTAAAACCGTGAAAAACCTTGGAGGAAGCAGATATCTGGTAACTCACGGTGGAATTCCTGGGCACTCCATCAGCTACGCTGAACTGGATTAACCAGAGAAACATAATTCTGGGGTCACACTTTGAAGGTCAGTGGTTATAAAATACAAAATATTCTATGACACCGGCTTTGCATCTGGTGTCATTTAATTTGATTTATTCTTGTGCAAGTTTCTCTCTGTGGTGATAATTTCCAAAGTGTGGAACTGGAGAAATGTTAACTGCTCTCATGCCCTCTTCCCTCTGGAACCAGCAGGCATTCAATGACTGAAATAGTCGCTTAATGCTCACGATAGATGCATCGAATCCGAGTGTATATGAATACATTCGCAATGCATGCTAAGGATATGCATGCAATATGTTGTTGCTTTGTTTGGGGGGTTATGGGAGGGAACAAAACTGTACAAGCAGAAAAAAATGGGAAAACAAGACCAATGGGGTGGTAAAAAAACAAAATGAAAAAATTTTCAATATATTTTGAATGAATCGCAACTTTGAATGCAACACATCACTGCGGGGAGTGGGTAGTAAATTGCTACACACGCGCTAACCAGGGATCCTATGTGAACAACGACACTCCTTAGAATATTAACATGGCACTCCCGGTATTCTTATACTTACAAAAATCAATACATTCCAAGCGATAAATTATTTCACAAACTGCCAGTTCTCGCACCACACGCTCTGCAAGTGTCCAAATGTACACGTAATCCACGTGTTCGCGATGCATCGCAAATTGATTTTCATTGAAAAAAACTGCAAGCGCTGGCGAGCGCGACGACGCGAACCTTGGTGGAACACGCGAAGCGAACGGCATGTTGGGAAATGCTACGCGAATTGACCGACAACTGCACGTTGCAGAGACTCGTTCAATCTATCAATCGATCTTTATTTTACGTGCCAAGGAAGTAGCCATCGGTGCGCATGACAATGGAATGGGCACGGTACAGGGGGAATCCCGTCACGACCTCAGTGGCTGACATCGACTGAGCAAAGCTAAATTGCTACCGCGCGCAAAATAAAGTGCAAACGCGAGCAACAAGCTGCAACTGCGTGCGTTTGTCAAGCTGCCACTGCGTGCGTTTGTCAAGCTGCCACTGCGTGCGTTTGCTTACCTGCTGCCGGGCTCGGCCCACGCCCGGCCGCGGCTGGTACAGGAGCCAGGTGTAGAGCACGGGGTCGACATTCAGCGCCGCTCCCTCCACGTTCAGCAGCAGCACGGCGCCTGCAGGATTGGAGGCGAGATGTTAACTCCGTCGCCTGGTATGCAGGAGGTTCGTCGGCTCAATTTCCGACCCTGACGCCTGTATATTTGGAGTTTGCGTGTTCTCTCTCTCTCCCTGTGGTCACGTGGATTTTTCTCCGGGGCCTCCGGTTTTTTCCTACACATTTTAGAATCGACATGCATTCAGAGTATTTGGCTTCTATGAATGTCCACGTGATAAGCCACTTCATTGAGCGATCTTGTGGTCAGGTCGCTTCTGAAAAAGAGCTACATTAGCTCAGTGGGCCTTACCTGGTGAAAAAAAAAAGTTTATAGTTTTAGCTTAGTGTACAGCGGCCAGCAGTGCAGTGCGGGTAACGTGGCGTCAGGGTGGGCAGCAACACCCAGACCCCATCTAGCACGGGGGGCTGCAAGCCGGCCTGGTGTCCTTTTTGGGAAAAGGTGTTACCTTTACTTCTCTTTTTACCGATTAAAGCGAATGCTTTTTTCGCTTTTTTTTACTTAGGCATGACTTTCACACAGCTATAGCACCAGATACGCGAAAAGAATAAATAATTACATCAACACACACGTGCATGTCGACGATACGCGGAGTGCACGTCAGCCCACGTAAGCCACAGGGCCACGTGACAGCCTCCTTCTCCGTTTACTTGTTGCAGTGCAAAAAATACAGCGGCGTGGCATGGGCCCTGGTGCGAGGAATAAAATGGGGTCCCCTCCTGCTCCACGTGCTATGTCCCCTCCCTTCATAGTCCGGGCGCCTGAACCCCTCCAGCCCGTGGGCTCTGGTGCATCTGTACTGTGTACACACTCAACAGCTTCCCCACTGGTATAACGGCAAAAGTTTGTTTTTGTTGACCCAGGAAAGCTTCAATGTATCCCAAGATTCGGTGTCAGCAGAGTCGTGGGGAGCGGTAGTGCAGCGGTTAGCGCTACGCTGCGCACAGAACCCGGCGATTCGAGTTCGATATGCCGGTCACGGCCAACGCCAGTGACGATTATCCGAACTGGTCCTGGGCCTCCCCTAGGCCGACTCCACCTCAAGTGAGTACCTGATGCGGTGCGTAAAAAACATCGCCACTGGGGAGACAAAGTCGGCCGGGCGTGCTGCTGGCCACCCACCCCCCTCGTGTGACGTGCCGGCCTTCATAGGTGCTCGCTAACAGCACTTTCCTCAACAGTCTGTTAAGGCTATACGGGGGATCATTTTTGCATGGGTATGTTTGACAACATTCCGTTTTGGCGATCTTAATATGTACACGTACACTTCAACAGCACGAATGTAATAATATAAATGCGTTAGTTACCGAGATTTATGATAACAATGCCCATTGTTTGTACAAGAATTCCAATTTAAGACTATTTCAGGAGGACCCTGCTTTTGGATGTCAATTCTATTTGTGTGCACTTGGCATGTGGGAAGAAAATGGAGGACCCGTAGAAACCTCACAATACGAGGGGACAGCACTCAAAGCTCCGCACAGATGGGTTCAATCCATATGTATGGGATATTTTCGCCAGTATCCAAAATTATGAAAAACAAGAATAGGTTTTACCCATTCTGGCAATAAAATAGGCGTTCAGATGTTCAAACACCAAACAGACACATTTTGCAAGGCATTAATTCTGCATTAACCACGCAAACTTGTGGCGAAAATTGCGAAGAAACATGCTCGGAGTGGTGCAATCCACTCGCTGTAGTTCTATCTCTCGGCCACCTTGCAACCGAAATAAAATATTTCATCAGTAGCTGTGCATTGGCGACGAGGGATAACATGCGTACCAGCATCAAAGTGAAGAACACAGCCTTGAATCCAGCAACATTTTCTCTACAACTGTAATGGTGTCACGGGGAATGGCCAGGCCCTCGTTCAGGGACCAAGTTGGGCAAACTGAAATAATTAGATTTCCTAACAAAGCAAACTTTAAGCGGTTTGCCAGTCCAGAGATGAACAGATAGCGTTCATATGCTTAGAAAACATAACAGCGCTAGCAGCCGACTGCCCGCTCCAATTGTAAATATAACTCAACAGAAATCGTCGTGTCCACTGTGTGAAATTGAAAACGTTCAGCAATAAGAACACATGCTGCCAAAGCTGTTTAAAGTCCACGCACGTCAGTTCATAGAACATCGCAGGTTCCACGGTGGGCCTTTAAGCAAAGGGTCGATGACAGGCAATGGTCCGTTTTATATACTGTTGCATTCCATACATTTATTACATTAACATTATTTACATAAAGATAAAGAGTAATTGTCGAAATATTTTCTGAATTAATTAAACGCATATGGCTAAAACATCTGATAACTTACAGGGTTATTCCTGTTGAGCCACAAAAAACGCATACATTTTTCGAATTAACTCGTTAAGTTTACATATGGAGGCATAGTCCACATTCTCCGCCTTACTTGGAAGTGGACAGAGCTCGCTGTGTAAAGGATAAAACATTCAAACTAACTACGAATTTTGCACGAACCCTTTACATTTTTGGGGTAAAACAAAAAAAAACCCACTCAAAACATCCGTCAATAACACTGTGGCCTTAAAAGGAAGCATATATAATTAGGTGACATTTGGGGCAAGGTGCCCTTCATTCTTTAACTCTGTGAATTATTTGCCATATCAAGGGCCGCACGCTCACCATTGCCTGCGCCCATGTTTCGTTGCCTGCCATTCATTGTCTGCTCAGAGACTCGGCCTCAATTTAACGTTGCTTTCTTTGGCACGCGAAAGCACCTCGCCATCACACGTCCAAGTCACCTGCAAGTATCCGTAATAAGCACCCCATTTCCCGTTGTCGCTTGAATAAAAAAATAAAAATTCCAAAATCAAAAGACTTGTTCTTAATCCAACACGCTACGTTTGGTAAAAATCCGACAAATGGGTTCTGACTCCCATCCCGCGCTCACACGGAAATGAGTGCCTGATACCCACATGATGCTGGTACACGGGAAAACAAAAGCCACTTGCCGGAACACATGCATGCATTTAGCTCAACAAAACCTGTATCCTCCTATTAAGACGTCAGTGGAGATTAATGAGTTTAGCGACAAGGGTGACATGCTGTATGAAATATAAATGTTTGTGAGCATCCATTAAGGTTCGGTGAAAATCTGTCCGTACATAATAACATTGGCAGTAAACAATCACACGTGACGACAGTACAGTATTCCTCGTTATTCACGAAGAGATAAAGTGATGACAAAGTGATGAGGGAATGTGATGGGAAAGTTAGATAACTTCTCGAAGCTTTAGAAGCATTTGCAGACATGACGATATATTCGTAGGCCAATATCATGACCCGCTAAATCTACTACTAACGAGCATCTTTGGAACGTATCCCTCGTGAATAACGAGGGGATACTGTAGCGGCAATGTGGAGGTGAAGCGGTGGTACAAACCCAGAGGGACCGAGTTTGGATCTCAGCCATGGCTACACCAGCCCGGTATATATAGGACAAAATACGGTTCAGAATCCATACTTAGACTGGAGGAATCCGATGAGCAATGACGCTCTTTTTCACCGGCGTCCAGTTGACAACCCCCCCCCCTCTGGGGCCACCCCATGACCGACGTGGCATGGGAGAAGGCCTTTATCCAACAGTATATCGATAAAGGGCTGGAATGATTTAATAACAATGGAAATAATAGGGCACACTTAATTATCTTGCAGATGATCTTTTGTGAACCCTGCCATGAGGTTATGTTTTTAGGAAATCTTCAAAGCCAGTCCCCCCTGAATGCGTACAATAATGTAGGACCAAGCGAGCCGTTCAAAAACCCAACCATGTAGAGTAATGCAATGGATGTAAACATTGGCCAAAAGGCCGCATTTGGCCAACAAACCACCTTGGCTTTTGAAGTGGAGCCCAGATTGGCCCTTGTATTTCGCCGGTAAGTAACTCCTTAATTACCCATTCCTTTTTAGTTGAAAGGAAATGTAAAAAAAAAAACTCAGGCAGGAAAGGCTTTTAAAATAATGTGCAGGCTACTCCTTTGTGCAATTTGAAACTGCTGTGGTAGTCTGAGCAGCGTGGACAGCTAATGTCATGTCAAATATTGCAAATAACACATATATACACTTATATAAATGACCTGTACGAGGATGCTGCTTTGGTGTAATGGTTAGTAACGCTGGAATTGGAATACAGAGGTTGCTAGTTCGACTCAATCTCCCAGCATGGTTGAAATAATGAGTCAAGTTTATTATAAACCCTGTCTGTCCACCCGGTGTCACGCACGGTGAGGTAAACTGTGGGTACTTCCATATATTTCCAGATGTCTGGCCAGATTGGAAAATTAGGCCAAAAAAAATATCCTCAAGAGGGCCTTTATAGAGGGCTCTCTAGAACTCCCTCGAGTGGAGATTCTTCTGCCAGCAGTGGCGGGAGCAAAGCATTGTGGGGATGCACCTTTATCTCTTACCTTTAAGTGAATGCTGAAAGCATTTTATTTCACACGAAAATAAACTAAGTGCTGCAGAGCTGCGCTTAAGTGTTCGTGAAATGTAACTCTTGCTTTTAAAGGCCTCGGAGCCTTGCCTGCGCAAAAGTGCATTCGGTAATGTGCTGAGCAAGGTCTGCCCGTGTAGGAATCTGCCAGAAAGTCACCTGAAAGGCGTTCGTTCCAGTGACAGTTGAAATGGCCCACAAGAGACATTTTTGGTTGTGCTGCACAAAATACAACTCTGAGTAACCAAATATGCCACAGAGAAAAGTGCCACTGTTGCAAGAGCACGAATACACGAGGCCCATTTTTCTCTGAGGTCATACTCATGAGCATTCGAGTCCGTGGCTTTATTTTACAACAAACAAAAAAATTACCACAATCCAAGCAGTAAATCATTACAATAATTGCACGTGCTCGTAAGCGAATGTGTGCGCTTCATTACAACATTGTAAGTGCTCTTAGCTCTTGCTTATAAATATATTCAACGCAAGTACAGTACAAATCCATGTTGTGCGCTGAGCAATTAGCGTGGCCCATTTGTGTACACGTTAC